ACAGATGATTTGCTTTAAGATTCTATTTTCTCTTATATCTTGTGCCTCATATTAAAAGTTTAAAATTTCTTCACATTTAAATGGTTTTTCATTATTTTAGTTAATCTACATTTCATATAAACTAGTCTGAAACTCATGCTCCAAATGAGGGAGGAAAATATCCCCCATAAACTTTTAGCCTACAGACATATAATTATTTTGTGTTTTTAAAGAAAACAGTTCTTAGAAGTCTTTCTATATCCATCTTGTTAATCTCCTATTTTCTGTGCATGCAATGGAAGTCAATAGAATTCTTTATGATATTTTCATTTGTGTCTGCTCTACTTTTTTCTGCAAATACAGGAATGATAAAATGGAAGTAGTATAATGGCTTAGTATCATTGCTGCTCTCAATCTTCCCTGATAAACAGCTTTCCAGACACTTTTTTATGTCATGAGAAGCATTAAAGTAAGTCAACATTTCTATAATATATAGCCAGTCTGAATAATAGTATACAATATATACAAAGCAAGAGGAAAGTGTTCAGCCCATTTCAATCTCTGTCCTCAAAGTCATATACATTGTTCATTAATTAGATTATTCACCTTAATAATATTTATATTTCATATTACTTGAGTGTTCAGTGTCTTTAAATGAAGAATTATCTTCTCTGAAGCACAGCCAAAAATGTAGCTATAATTCCTCATTTATGTTTTTGTCTTCTAATAGCTATGAATGCCAATTCAAGTGCCATTATCTGTTTAGTCATAGTCAAGGACAGAAGAATATGAGCTCTTAAAATCAACGTACAATCTGTTTATCCTATTCAATAAGATATAATAACAGAGAGCAGGTTAGACTTAAAATCTTAGCACGGTAAAATAAATAACTGATTACCAAAGCATTATTTTACTTAGATATAGAATATATACACATCTGAAGTCTTTAATTTAAAAGAAACAGTGTTCTTGGACAGTGCCTCACTGGGACTTTTCAGATAAGAACAACTAAATTTGGCCTTGAAACACAGTTAAAAAAAACCCAGTGACCATATTTTTTAGCATGTGAACATCCACAGCAAAGTGCCACCTACATGATGTTCAAAAGAAACCCAGGGCCACTGCCTTTAAATTGAAGGCCACTAGCTAATCAACCCACATTCACACAATGTGTAATTGAGTTTCCAACATTCAGACATAGGTCCTTACAGAAATGTTTTACTTACAGAGGTGTCATCAATAATGAAATCTAGACACAGGATTAAAGCCTCCAAATTAGCAGTGCCATTTAGGACTTCTAACCTACTATTTTTACAACCTCTCTCCAGGATCTCTCCTTGCCTTCTGTAATCAGCACCAGAACTATTCATTGCTCCCTGCTAAGCTTTTATCTCCATGAAGTGAAGGTGACAATGAAACACTCTCCTGCAAGATCCTCCTGGCAGCACTCCCACGTTGCCTGCTGGACTGTTTTGATCCCATTCCATATGTCCACAATTTAAGCAGCACTACAGCTGCCTAGCTCTGAATTATGTTGCATCCCACTGCCAGGCACAATCCGGAGGTTCCTGAGTTCCAAACTAATCTTCTGAGCCTATTTCAATTTTCACATTAAAGAGCATGCTGCCTAGAACTTGATGATTACAGGTTTTTGAGGACAGGATCAAGCAGAGGAAGATGCTAGCAGGGAGTCAAGAGTAATAACATTATTCTGAAGGCATAGCCAGTTTTTTCTTCTGCTTTGAATTAATTCAGTCACAGCAGCACCGATGTAAATACAGCCTTGCAGCTCCATATTGCTGCAGATACATTTGAATAAATTTCTTATGTGTCGTTGCACCCTGGAAAGCAAATTTTTGAGAGAGCTGGTTTTATCATCAGCTAATTGTGGCTCTGGATTATTAAGTGCAGGGACTGAAGAGTTAGGAATATCTTGATAATATATGTATAGGTACATATATGATAATTGGCTTGAGCAATAAAGCTATAAATTATTCTGCCTGCCAATTAAAAATTATGAACACTGAAGAATCAATTTATTTTTAAGGGCAACTCAATAACCTATGCAGACACTAACTGCTTTTTTTTTCCCCTGAAATCTGTCAAATGCTCTTAGCTCACATTACACCACCATTTTAGTAAAATTAGTGATGTTTAATACCATAAATGATAGTTCTTTGACAGTGAAATGATCTGTCATGTCATAATTCTAGCTAGCAAAGTTCCATATTCATTTACAAGTCAATTTCCTAATCAGAGAGAAAAATACAACAGAGAAATCACAGCTGCCCCTCAAAAATTTTAATAGAAAGACATTTGATAAATAATTAGGGTACACATTAAAACGTTATATTTCATCTGGCAACAATTGACATGTATATGTATCAATGTTCTAAAATCTAGTAGAGTAAAGATTCTCCACTGCCTTCACTGGTATGGGCTGAAATATTTTCCACGCCCTTTCTTTTTAGTCAGAGAAGGAGAAAAGCACAGGACGAATCGTGCACAGAAAAATTACTGGGGCAAATTATTGTATCACAATTAAGGACCTGATTCTCGCTTTCTTCCTAGTCTATTCTCTTTACTTCATCCATCACTAGTACCAGCACAATACCTATGAATATGACTCTGGTGGACTAAGAATATGATTAACAATACTTTTGAAGAGCATGAATGGTGGGAGACTGGTGTATTTTATTTGGGAATCTTTTACATTACATGTATCTGTATCAATCCATGTATCTACATAGAGCTAGATTATGGACAGTATAGCTATGGAAAATAACCAACGTGTCAAAAGCGTCTCAAAGAGCGGGGACAAATATCTGAAGAATAGTTAAAAAAAGGTGTCTGGGTCTGAGATATGTAGCTGCAATGTGATTCTGATGAGATCCAGATACTGTTACTACTTTAATTAATACCTCAGTATTGAAGCTATCATCCAGAAACAGACCGGGCAGTCTGATGGGTTTTGATGTAAAGTATCATTTTAGCTTTATATAAGATACAAGAGATTAAAAAGTCAAAATCATTGAACAGAAAAAAAATACCTTTTTTTCAGTATCTTTGATTACTATTGCTTTGCCACGTACCCTGCATTTTATCAGATGCCTGATAAAATGGAAGGTATGTGTCCTATTTTAATTTGAAAGGCAGACTAACTCAAAGAAGAAAGTTGCAAGTTTTGTCTGGTCAGATGAACAGATACTATAGATATTTTTCAAACTTATTTTTTAAACTTCTGCGTACAAGAGACATGAAAAACTTTTTTTCAATAGAAAGTAATGTAATCTGTTGCCTTGTCTTCTCAGTGAGAAGGTAGATTGGATGGACATCATCTCTCCTGCAAGTTGTCAGCCACGTGTCATGTGGAACCCTTTCAATTTATGGAGTACCTATGGCTTGAAAGCACTGCTGGAAATGGCAAAGCAAATGCCCTACCTAAGCAATATAAATGGATGCATACGAGTAAAACTTTATGCAAAAATTCTACACAGTTTGCACTGGAATGAAGCTGCATGTTGCCTATTTTTATTACTTGCTCCTTAGGTTCCTTCAGGGAAATTTCTCGCCATTTGTTGTCATGGAAATGGCAAATGGACCCCTATTAAAAGTCAAAAGACATAGCAATGCCTTGGCATAACTCTGGAATGGTTCTAGGGGGTGGGGGAGAAGCAGTGTAGATTTTGGCAGTTTCTTACCTGAGGGTGGCTCAGTTTTTGCCCGGCTTGGAGGGTGGACGACTGTAATGTTTTGTGCTGGACTTCTCATACCCAGGAAGTTCAGTACTGCTGTACAGTTTCAGAACTATTGAATGTCACATTTAGAATTTAAAGACTAATTTATGGAATTTTGCAAATCCATCTCACAAATTTCTGAAACCATGGTACAGCATTTGCTAAAATTATATCAGACAGAAAATACCTCCTGTACAACAAAACTACTGCCAGGGACCTAAAGTTGAACATCCTCCTTTAAAAATGTTACAAGATCATCCCTTCTTTTATCATTTTGGTATCCAACCCTCTCACCTTTGGACTTGCAAGATGCTATAAGCTTTCACCTATACAGAAGAGAAGATATCTTTCCAAGAATGCAACTTGTAGGAATGCTCAGCCTCTTCTACAGCCTGCCCTTTCACTGCAAGAAAAGTGCCCTTTTTTTCCCTCACAGAATCTCACTTTTTTCTATCTCTATAAGAGAATATCTATAGAACTTGAATGTGAAGCTAGAGACCTCATAATGTAGTTCAGCTTATGGAGCAGTGGTTCTCACCTTTCATGGAAACCTAGCAAAGAATTTCAAGGCTCCATGGTAAACTTAGGAGACTAAAGACTAAAGTCAATGAATTTTAAAGAAATTTAGGCTCTTGAGAACAAATGTATATGTATTTTAGACAAAATAAAAAAAGAAGTTTTAATACAAATATACGAGATGAACTTTCCATCTGGGTGTTCTATATATGCATGCATAGTTAGACATACAGTTATAAGTATACATAAAAGCCTGCTAATATACAATTTATATTTAACACAGTATATGAAAGCAAATAATAAATATTCTGTTGTTACTAAATTTTGATTATGTGATTAGACAATAATAATGTTTGCTTTTTACAATTCCTAATAGAAAAGCAAGTAGATAATCCTGCCTAATTAATGTTGTAAAAACTTTGTGAAATTGGTTTCCAATGCATTTAAAAAATGTTATTTAGCTTCCTAAATTACCAGGGAGTTTCTGAATTTTTTAAAACAAAGACAGAAATAAAATATAAATTACTAAATATGGACAGAGAACTGGGATAACTGTATTATCTTTGTTTCCCATTAGCCTTTCAACACAGAGCTTGTAACAAAACTATTTCTAATGTTGTCATGTTCCCTCCCATGCTGGTGAAGCTATAAAAAGAATAACTACAGCATGGTTCCTGTAATGCATTTTTATTTGGAAATTAGTGAGGCTGCTGAAGAGAAGCTTCTCATACGCAGGGCAGGAAGCAATAGAAGGAAGATATTACTTACCTAAGACTGAAAATCCCCAAACCTCTAGTTTGTTGCTCCAGCCTCATCCTTTCAGTAGAAACATTTCTTCTCTGTTCAATCCTTTCTTCTTTTCCTCCTCAGAGACTAAAGGATGGGGAGAAAGGCATAAAGATTCCTAAAATAATTTTGTAGACACGAGTTAGAAGGATATAAAAGAAGCCTTTTTCCTCTTTTTACTGTTCCTTTTGTACACTGATCAAATACTAATCAAATACTAATGGTTTAATGCCAAAATTGCATGAGTAATATACAGCCATTACAAGTACAGATTGCACCATAGAACGGCTCTTCCAGTCATAGGAATTGCATGCCTGCCCTCAGCCCTCGGAATAGTTGCTGTTCATTGTAATTCTGTGAAATTTTAGCAGGTAGTAGCCATCATGACAAGAATAAATCTGGCAGAGATGCTCTTCCACAAGATTTTCTGACTTCCTTTGATGTGGCCTTGTATTGTAAACGCAGGTGAACTCAATGGGAAGAAATGACGATGTCTGACTCAATTCAGAAGGCTGAATTATTTATAATAACTATGGCAAAATACATTAATATTCTATATAAAAAGGAAGATACTAAAACACATACTACTTTCTCTAACTCTAACACAACTCGTGACCCTCTCTCTCGAGTCCTTACACAGGTGGATTGGATTGGCCATCAGGCTCAAACAATCCTCACCAGAATCCAATCAAGCACTCACTCCAGGTAAACAATTCTCCAAACACATTCCACATAGGAAAACAAGGAGCAGAAATAGAAATTGTTTTCTCTTTCACTTCTCTCTGTGCACCTCTATGAAAAATCCCGAGAGTGAGAGAAATGTGCTTTCCACAGCCTTGCTAATGTTACTGAGACTTATGTCAGCCAAAGTGGCAATACTCTGAAAGCATTAAATCAACATATGATTGAGTCTGCAGAATCTGGTCCTCCCTAATGAATTTTTCAAATGGAACCAAACTATGTCATCATCTCCAGATCACCACAAGTGTAAGATTAGAAAGGACAACCCTGAATTTCTGGAAATGTATTTCTTTTGTCACAATTAATCTGTGAATATCAGAAGGTACTTGTGTTATTTTCCTAAAAACCTCATCTGTGGCAATCCGCACCAATCAGTTTTGATTGAGGCCAATGCAGTTGCCCAATGTCTGCTTCCAGAACATTCAAAGTGAAAATAACAAATCTATGCCTGGCTGAAGGAGGTTGTGTAGAGACTCCCAGGCACAGTGAGACTGAGACAAGTAGACTGAAGCATTGAGAAGAAAGGACATTTGGCTGATGTTACTGCAGGATATTTCAGACTTTATATGAAACCAAGGTACAAGGTGCTTATATTGTGTGAGCAAAGACACACGCTCAGGGAAGGGTCTTACCCTTGTCCTTCAGCTTCCTCTATGTTTCAGGTTCTCCTCTCCACAGCTCTGCCAGAAGGATCCTCATCAGTGTGAGTGCTGAACCAAGCGCATCTTCAGCCTGCAGAGAGCAGCTTTTACTGGGAACAGTGTAGGAGCAAAGGGTGAGAAGTGTAGAATTCCCTCAGAGCACCAGGCTTCTGTGGAAATCCCGGCAGCCTCTTCCCAGGACTTCCTTAGCTGCAGAAGGACTGCCATCAAATCTTCCCGTTATTTTGACTCCACGTTAGGATGAAACTATACTGCAGATGTGCCTATTTCAGTCCTTCGTTGGGAAACTAGAGTAACTATCCTGGCTGTCAAAGGTGTAATGTCAGGTGAGATGAATACCATCATTAACAATACTGAGAGACTGAAGATAACAAATTGTGGAGAGAGAATGGCTTTTGCTACAAACAGAAGCAGTGTCAGAAGCATTTTATTTTGCAAACACTGACGGCAAATGAAAAACTTGAGTGATTTATGTTTGGCAGCCTGTTCCTTACTTCAGGTCTTACTTCACAGATCCCTTCCTGTAAACTCAAGGAAGCTTTTAATCGTACCCAATGTGATTAAAAGTCTTCCAGTGAATCTTGATATTCTCTCATATCTGTTTTCAAGTGTTAATTCTACATAAATGTTTTTTTGCAGACCTGTGGAACTCTGCAACTCCCTATTATGAAACTGATCAAACATGGGAAACTTCCCTAAAGTTATTAGAACAGTGCTCTATGTTTTGCAGAATTCCTTTATAATTAGTGTATCCAAGGTCCGGACCTCTAAGCAGCAGATTTTTTTCATCTTTTCTCACCTTGAATCAAAAAGCTCATCTAAAACACTTTCATAATGCAGTTTCACCTTAACTTCCTATTTAAGTAATTATAACTTTTAGAATTATAATTCTATGAACTTCCTTCCACCAAAAATGAATCATGAAGTCCAGGTATTCTATTTGAAAAATATCAGTATGTTACTTAATTTTCCAACATATTTACTGTGATTCTTTAGTCTTGTTACTTAATGTAGAGGAAAACCTTAGAGTCAAAAAAGAAAAGAAGGAAAAGACCAACATTATCTCAGTTTTATTGACATGTAAATAACAACAAAGAATAGAGGTTGTTGTGGCAATATGACATCTTTTAAATATAAGTTATATTTTATATGTATATGTGTGTGTTTATGTTTTAAAAGCACTATTTGTCCACTAATCTCTCTTGTCTGAGACACTGTATGTGCACACAATATCCAAACTAGACAATATTGATGCTCTGAGGGGTACGTCTTGCACACAGTGAGAAAACACACCAAATTCAGAAACAAAAATGTTTCTAAAAGTCTCTCCTAAAAGTCTACAGAAAATCCTGGTCCTCTCACAGATCCAGAAACTCCATCTTGAAAGCTATTGCTTTAAATTGGTCAACTGGTTTTCTGAAAGCCTAAGACAGGGAAAACTACTGTTGGAAAAGTATATGCACAACCTGCACAATTCACTGATTTTAGCACCAAGATTCAGAAGTCAGAAATCAAACACTGATAGGGACAGACAGCAAACTTGCAGCTATACTACTGGTGTGGAGAGAAATGTGTTTGAAATACAGAGTCTAGAATTAATGTTGATACCTGTTACCTGCTTAATTTTCAGCTTACTGATGATTTTTATGACTTTATTTGTTCTTGCAACCCTTTAAATAGTTGAAAAGCTAGATGTGCCTTTGTGTAGCATCACTCCATTCCCACTTCTCTGAGAAACAAGTGGTGCTCTCCCTAAATCCTAACTAATTTTTTAACTTTATGAAATATTTGCAGAATATTTTTTTTATAATGAGTTTAAAGGTTATTAAAGCACAAAGGATGGGTCTATGGGGCACAGTAAAAGCTTTGAAATACTCAAGTCCCTGGACCAACAGCTTTTACATAAGATAATGCTGTAGTGAGACAAGTAGAGCAGGTCTTGGAGAAGACTGATAAAGTTCTTCTGACTGCTGAAGGCATTGAGCATCCCACAAGAGTCTGTACCAACTGGAGGACTGCATTTTGGCCAGTAGCCTCAGTCTCCCTGGAACTGTGAGACGCAAAGTGTAATCAAGTGTAATCTGCAATGCTGCTTTTAATAGTAACAGTATGAATCCACAGTGACTTGTTATTTTCATAGTTACATAGGAAAAAATGCTGTTCTATCAAAAAAAAAAAAATTCTAGATGTACTTTTCACCCTAACTGATACACACAGAAAAGTGTTTCTCTGCTTGTTTATTTTCAGTAGGGTTTTAATATATTATACTAGTACAATAGCTTTCTTTATGTTTCTGTTTAAATTTCTTGAATATCTCATTCCAAAATTCAGCATCCCCTCTACTTTATGACACATTACATTAGAAAAATTGCATCTCTGGTCTTGTGTTTCTCTAAAATTTAAATAAGTACCCTAATCCCCACATTTCAGATTTATTCATAATTCATATTAAAAACCACATTGCCTCCCCCTAAAAACAATGTGTTGAAATAATAGCCTGGGGGAATCTAAAGAAAGAAGCATAAAAAATCAAAAATGGTTTTTGTATTGCTCATGCTTGTACTAGTAGGAATGAACTCAAGAGGCATATGTATCCATCTTGTTTATTAAAGTAAATCACTTCATTATACAACCTGCATTTTTTCTCCTATGTTTTGGAAGGGTTGCCTCTATGCTTTGTTATCCTCCAGGGTGGAAGTATATATGATTTTAAAAATACTAAGCTAGCCTTCTTGTTGCTGTATGTAGGAACAACTTCAGTTATATAATGAAGTTATATATATATATTAGTTTTATATATATTCATATAATGAATATGAATATATATATGAGTTATATGATGAGAATTTTACTGGTAATTAATTTCATCTATTGATGACATATTATGTAAATAATTCATGGTAGTGTGAAATTCTAGAGTAATTTTTAAAGGTTTAAAGATTGAACTATGAAGCAAAGGAACCGGAAAACTGGCAGTAAGACAGAAGACTAGGCAAAAGAAAAATAGGAAAGGAAATATGGAAAAATAATTACAGAATCACAGAATATGCTGAATTGGAAGGAATCCCCAAGAGTCATCAAGCCCAACTCTCAGCTGTACACAGGACCATCCCAAAGAGTCCCACCATGAGAGCATTGTTCAAGCACTTTTTGAGCTCCATCACGCTTGATGCTGTGACCACTTCCCTGGGGAGCTGTTCCAGTGCCCAACCACCCTCTGGGTGAAAAACCTTTTCCTGATATACAAACTAAACCTCCCCTGACACAAGTTCTGACCGTTCCCTGTCACTGGGCACCACAGAAAATAGATCAGCATCCGCCCCTTCTCTTCCCCTTACAGGAGCTGTGATTACATAGGGGTCTCTTCTCCAGGCTGAACAGACCAGTGACCTCAGCTGCTCCTCCTCACATGGCTTCCCCTCCAGGCCCTTCACCATCTCACCATCTTTGTTGCCCTCCTTTGGAGTTCATCTAAAAGCTTTATATATTACTTCTATTGTGGCACCCAAACCTGGCCCCCAGCACTCGAGGTGAGGCTGCCCCAGTGCAGGGCAGAGTGGGACAATCCCCTCCCTTGCCCGCTGGCCATGCTGGGCCGGATGCCCTCAGGACAGGGCTGGCCCTCCTGGCTGCCAGGGCACTGCTGACTCATGTTCAACTTGCCATCAACCAGGACCTCCATGTCTTTTTCCATGGCATTTCCCAGCATCTCATTCCCAGTGTCTGGGTACCCAGGGTTGCCCCATCACAGGTATAGAATCTGGCACATTCTCTCGTTGAATTTTGTATGAATGGTATAAATATAATTATAAGGGAAATCAGAGTGAGGAAGATGTGAACAGAAGATTGCAGGTTAGAATCAGTGAGATCAAAATCAGTAAAGTAGAAAGTAAGACAAGTAAAAGAGAGATATGGGATAGATCTTGAAACACATAATTGAAAGGTGAAACAAAAGTCAGTTCCCTCTATCTCATCAAAACAGCCAATGCAGACATCCTATTCTAATGCTACTCAAGTGAGTACCTTTCTCCTGACTATTTTGGGAGACAAGTTTTTTATGCTGAACAATTTTACTTTCTCATACTAAATATGCATTGGAGTGGTGTCTGTCTTTTCAAGTAGCCTGATTTATCTGCTTCTGAGCCATGAAAGTGCAAGACAGTATAGCTCAAAACAACGGAGTCTAGCTAAAACTTCTATGGCATCATAGTAATTATAAAGAAAAGGAAGGGAAGGGAAGGGAAGGGAAGGGAAGGGAAGGGAAGGGAAGGGAAGGGAAGGGAAGGGAAGGGAAGGGAAGGGAAGGGAAGGGAAGGATGGAGACTATCTAAAAATGGGTGACAGTGATTTCTTGTTAAATTTCTTAAGTTTGAAAATACACTACAGAACAAAGTCTACTAGGAAGGTTGTTTTAATATTTTGTGCGCTTTCAGGAATGAAAGATCAAATAAGTTCTATGGACAAAGTCTCATCTTGAAACTGGTTTGCAACAAAGCCCATTGCCAGGACAATAATTGTATAAAATACTAGTTCATTGTTTACATGAATTTACACTTGGGCAATCATAGCACATGTTGAACAGACCTGATCTTCCTGAATAGCATATGAATCTTTATATTTCTGTTTCAGCTAGGACATGTATTTCAGAAAGACGTCTAATCTTTATTTGAATACTTATCAAGGTAACTTATTCAGTAAGCAGCAAGGTAACTTACTCAGTTGGTTAGTAATGATTCACTGTAAAAATGCTTCTTTAATTTCTTGTCTCAATTGACCTATGCTCTGTGTTCAGGCTCTAAGTCTCTAATGCCTTTGAAAGATTAAACTTCCCTCCAGTGTTGGAACTATCTGCATTTATAGATAATGATCAGGTTCACTTCTTAACCTTCATTTCGTTAAGCTAAAGGGACTGAACTGGGTACGTATCTCACTGAAATAGTCTTTTTTCCAGAGAACTTTTATCATTCTTGTAGCTCTTTTTAAAGCCATTTCCAATATATCAATGGTGCTTTAAAATGAGTTCATAAAACAGAATATAGTAGAGGTCTCACTAATATCACAGAGA